GAGTGGCTGACAGTGAACACAGAAAATCTCAACACAGAGTAGCCAACCTTTACTGCAACTGAATGCTGGGGCTCACTTCAGACAAAAACCTCCAGGGAGGGCCAGGCACAAGGGACTCCCACATTTTGGTGAGGAATCCCTACATTTTACCTCTAGGAGCATGACTAGGTTTCTCACAGTGACTATTAAAGACAGAACCCCTCATAGTCACAGCAGGAGAGGAGAAAAGAAATCATTTTGAAATATGTCAGAGTTTCTGTTCTTAACAAGGCCTTTCCTCAAGAAAAAATTATTTTCCCAAGTCTAACCCGCTGAGGTCTTATCAGAGCCTAACCAGCCTGGAGGAAGGGAAATGACCAACTCCAGACTGACCTATCTTCCACGAGGGAAAGGGAAATAACCATTCTCAGTTAACCCACCAATGTGGGAGAAAAACTACGGCAGATTTGTAGAGTTCATGCCGGGGCTTACTTATCACTGAAGACTGAGCCCCATCATGTAACTATAGGGTGTTTCCCCTCCCCTCATGCCTCGCCATTACCCACCAAAGGCCTGTTTGCTACAGTTCATTCCTTTTATCCAGTACATCATATCTGGCTTTCAAGAAAAAATTATGAGACATACCAAAAGGCAAAAGACAGTTTGAAGAGAGAAAGCAAGCAACAAAACCAGACCTCAGATATGGCTGTTTCAATTACCAGATCAGGAATTTAAAATAATGATGATTAATAATGGAAAAGGTAGACAACATGGAAGAATAAAGGGATAATAAAAGCAGAGAAATGAAAATGCTAAGGAAGAATCATAAAGAAATGCTAGAGATCAAAAACACCATAACAGAAATGAAGAATGGCTTTGATGAACTCATCAGTGGACTGGACACAGCTGAGAAAAGAATGTCTGAGACTGATAATAAAACAACAGAAACTTCCAAAGTGGAAGACAAAGATGAAAAAACAAAAAAAGAACAGAATATCCAAGAAGTGATGGACAACTACAAAGATGTAACATGTTATATATTGTGATGTACAATGGGACCACAAGAAGAAGAAAAGAGAAAGCAATGAAAGTGATATCTGTATTTCATCAAATTAATGTCAGACACCAAACCACAGTTGCATGAAGCTCAGCAAACACTCAGCAGGATAAATATAAAAATAAACCTAACAGCCACCCAGGCTCCAACCTACATCTAGTCATAGCACATTCAAAGTACAAAAAATTAAAGATAAAAGGTAGAGGGGGAAAGAGAGCTTTAGAGAAACAAATTTTGATTTATGGTCAATTTTTCCTCAGAAACCAGGCAAGCAAGAAGACACTGAATGAAATATCTAAAGGACTGAGTGAAAAAGTTGTCAACCTAAGATTCTGTACCCTGTTGCATTAATCCTCAAAAGTGAAAGAGAAATAAAAATTTCTCACATAAAAATTGAGAAGATTTACCTTGCAGGAAAAGTGTAAAGTTTAAAGAAAGTCTTCAGATAGAAGAAAAGTGACACAGGTGAGGAAGATCTCACCTGCATCTCCATGAAGAAAGTACAAGCATCAGAAAAGGATAAATAAGGGTTAAACAGCAACTTTATCTTATACCTAATTGATCTAACAGACAACAATTTATTCAAAATAAAAGTAGCAACAATGTATCAGATTATGTATTTTTATATATAGTATATATATACATATATGCTTATGCATGCCTGTGTATGTGTAAAATGAATGCCAGTGATGATACAAAAGGGGGAGACCCGAGAGGAATTTATGGTATTTTGTTTAAGATATTTCTACCATGAAGCAGGCAGTAGTATTTGAAAGTGGACTAACTGTAAATGTGTATAGCAAACTCTAGGACAACCACTAAAAAAAGAAATGTAGAGTAGCAACCTGCTAAGAAAGGAGAAAGAATGGACCCATAGAAAATGCCCAATTAAAACTACAAAAGGCAGAGAAAAGATTGGAAGATAAAAAATAAGAACAAAGAGTAAAGGTAAGTAATAAAGAACAACAAATATGATAGATATTAATAAAAATATATTAATAATCACTTTGAATGTTGATGGCTTAAATACACAAATTAAAAGACCGAGAATACAGAGCAGACCAAAAAACAAAACTCAATTAACTATATGTTGTCTTCAAGAAACCTGCTTTAAATATAAAGACACAAATAGATTAAAAGGTGAAGAAAGAGAAACCATTCTAATGCAAATCAAGAGACAGCAGTAGCAGCTACATTAATTTGAGAGAGAGCAGACATCAGACCAAGGAGTGTTATCAGGAATAAAGGAGGACAATACATAATGATAAAGGGGTCATTTCTCCAAGAAGACAATTATGATCCTGAATGTTTGTGCCTAACAATAGAGTGTAAAAATGAGGCAAAAACTATAGAAATATAAGGAGAAAATGACGAATCCACTATTATGGTTGTACATTTCAATACAGATCCATCAGGCAGAAAGTCAGAAAGGACACAGCTGAATTCAACAACACAGTTAACTGGACATAATTGATATCTATGGACTATTTCATCCAACAACAGCATAAAATACATTCTTCTCATGCTCACTTGGAATATTCATCCAGTATTATGGACCATAAAACACACCTTAACAAATTTAAAATAACAGAAATCATTCTATGTCTGTTCTCAGACCACAGTGGACTTCAATTGAAAACAAATGACAGAAAGACTGCTGGAAAATCCCAAAATACTTGGAACTAAACAACAAATTTCAACACATGGGCCAAAGAACAAATCTCAAGAGAAATTAAAAATATTGTGAACTAAATGAAAATGAAAATACATCTTATCAAAATCTGTATAATGCTATGAAAGCAATGGTTGGAGGGAAATTTATAGCACTGAAGGCAAATACAGATGGTCCTTCACTTATGATGGTGCACTTAGAATTTTTTTACCTTGGGATACTCATTGAGTAAAAACTATACTTTGAATTTTGATCTTTTCCTGAGCTAGCAATAAATGGCATGATAGAGTCTTATGATGCTAGGCACTGGCAGTGAGCCACAGCTCCCAGTAAACCATGTGATTAAGAGCACAAATAATCAATACTCCACAGTGTGCTACTGTCTACATTTTTGGAAATTGTGTTTTTTGTTTTCACATTGCATCATGTCTGCAAAATTCCCATCTTTGTCTCCTGCTTCTGGTAAGAGGAGAAAGGTAATTACTCTGTGTAACTGTGCAGCACGAAGACAGCAAGCCAGTGATGGCCATCACATGAGTTAGAACTTTTGTAATTGGCAATCTCAATTATCTTAAAGGACAAGTAGTTAATCATCTACAATAATCAGTAGGTTAGATGTATTAAATCCATTTTCGAGATACAGTATTTTCAACTTATAATGGGTTTGTTGGGATATAACCCCATTGAAAAATTGAGGAAGAACTGTATCAGAAAAGAACAAAGATCTAAAATCAATCATCTAAGCTTCCGCCTTAGGAAGCTAAAGGAGAGCAGATTAAATTCAAAGAAAAAGAAATAATAAAAACAAGAGCAAAAATCTATGAAATCAAACAAAGAAAATCAATAGGAAAAAAAAACCCAAACTGGTTAAAATATGAATAAAATTAATAAGCCTTTAGCCAGGCAGAGGAGACACAAATCATGAATATCAAAAATCAAAAAGAAGACATCACTTCAGGTCCCATGGGCATTAAAAGGAGAATAAAAATTAGTATTAATATTTTTATGCCTATAAATTTAATGACCTAAATGAATGGACCAGATTCTTGGAAGATTATCTACCAAATCTCAGACATGAAAAAACAGATGATTTCAACAGACTTATATCTCTTAAAGAAATTGGATCAGTAACTATTAAATTAAAAAACAAAGGAGTGGGCTCAGATGGATTCACTGTTGAACTGGAAATATTTAAGGAAGAAATTCTACTAATTCTCTGCAATTGCTTTCAGAAGACAGAAACAGAGAAAATACTTCCTAACTCATTTTATGAGGCCAACCTTGCCCTAATAACAAAACTAGACAAAGACATTGTAAGAAAACTACATGTCAGCACCTCTCATGAATACATACACAAAAATCCTCAAAAAAAATCAGCAAATTCAGTTATGTGTAAAATGAATTTTATACCATGGCCAAGAAGGATTTATGCCGGGTATGCAAAGACAGTTCAACATATGAAAATCAATTAATATAATCCATCACATTTGAGAGGCTAAAGAAGAGGAGTCCAGCGAGATGGTGGAAGAATACAGAAATCAGGCTCAACAACATCAGCCACCAAAACCGATGCAAAACAAAGTCCAAGACCCTTGAGGGAAAAATGAAAATCCGTGTTCACACAGGAGTGTCAGCCCGACTGAAAGGGTAGGGAAAACTCTAAACTTGGTTTAAAGTAATAACCAGGCAGTACAACCCACAAACTGGGGCTCCTAAGTCCCAACACTGCAGTGAGCAAAGGGGTACAGGAGCTCTTCTTTTTATTATTTCTTTTTCTTTGAATTTAATCTGCTCTCCTTTAGCTTCCTAAGGTGGAAGCTTAGGGTACACTGCAGGAGAGCAACAGAGGTGAGGGCACAGAGAGAGGATGATGGGCGTTAGTCTGAGGCCCCTAACATAGAACAGTTATGGCCTGATTCACCTGGACTTCCTTACAGAAGAGGCTACTACTGAATCTGGGTTGTGATACCGGAAACTCCTGCACCCCCAGCACAGGCTGAGACATCCTGCCACCCCATATCCCAGGAAGAGATACCTAAATCATTTGATCCCTCTCCCACGCAAAGAAAGGAATTTTAAATTCCTGTGTCTTTTTTTAGGGGTAGTCTTTCCAGCTACTCCTCATCAGTACCATCCCCAACCTCTCCAAATGCCTTCTAAAATCCCTTCTCTCCCCCACTCTTGATATGCTCCACATGTCACCCACATCCAGCTCGTACACTGCTGGTGAGCAAGATGACTTCCCGACCACCAGCCACCAACAGGACTGGCCTGGAGTGGGCATCACAGTACCTGGAGGGAGGGTCTCCATGCTTTGTGCTTTCTCGTCCCCATTGCTGTGATGAAGGTCTTTCTTTTTAATTGGATCAATTTCATTCCAGTCCTCCTAGGGGGAACAAAGACACCACATGAGTCGACCAATTCTTAAGCCAACCCTCCATTCATCAATTCAATCAACACTGAGGCATATGTGGCAGTGGGCTCTGGGGACACCCGGTGTGAGAATGAATTTCCATCTTCAGCACCTCCACTGAGGAGTTTCTCAGTGGGTGAAGATGCAAAGGGAGAAAAGTGTGGGGATGCCCTTTACCAAGGAAGGGTTTGCATTTCTTTTTTCATTTTGTATTTGCTTTGCATATCTGTAAAAAGGAAAGAACTCTGGAAACTCCCAGGGCTTTGAAGATCTGTGAGGGTAGTGAAGGGAGATAGGGAAAGTGGATTAAATAAAATAATTCAACAGCAGTTAAATTAAAGCCATTAAAATCAGGATCGCTTTCTAGATATATTAGATGGTTTAAGGACATCCTAGGACCAGGTCCTCCCTAGGGGCCCCTTTGAGTCCTCCTCAGAGGTTGAAAGATGATTGCTTAATGCCACTGAATAAGAGTGGAAGGACAGCTAAGCTTCTGCAAGGGCCCCTCTAAGGGGACTGCCAGTAGAACAGAGCTGTAAATTAAAAGCTTAATGTGAAACCGGAATAAGATATAAGCTCTGGCAGAATTTATTCAACTCATCTGCACAAACAATTTAATCTCTCAACATTAAATCAAATGAAAGAACAATTCCATGACCACAGAGCTAAATATACTTTCAATACTTTCGAATCTGATTTCTATGAGCAAAAAATGACTTCGCTATATGACCAAAATCAGAACTCTCCCATGCTGGTCATCTTCACAGGCTTGCATTGTCCACGGGTTGTTTTCCCGAGCAGATGCTGTTAAAATGATCTGCATAAATAGGGAATTCTCAGGGCCAAATGGTACATTTTCCCCAAATGTGACTTGCTCAGCCCATAATCTGCAGTTTTATTCTGAAGAATTAAAGAGAAACTGTGCCTAAACTTCCTTCCTCTCCAGGCCAGCTTTTCCTCTGGTGGCTTTTGCAGCAAAATGAGACAGCTGGGTATATCCCATCAGGGCCATCGAGACATGACAGGGTAACTTCACAGATGCAGGGGCTGGAAGAGAGACCACCCTGTGCCTGGCAGGTCCCACCCACCATCACCAGGCCTCTCTCAGGCCTCAAGGGCCCCCAGAACCATGACTTTTGAAGATCCTTTCCTCCCACATTGAGACACATGTACTAAAAAGCACCTGTAACCCAATTTAAATATTTTTTGCTACAAATGAAATTTGAAAGCTATCTACAATTTGACTTTTGACATTGTTTGAGAATAAACTTTCAAGTTGCTACTAACAATGATTTCATAGCCATCTTTGCAAATGTGTGAGCGCCTCCATGATACCAAGAAACGTGTAAATTCAGCAAGTAATGAAGTGACTGGCCACAGTATATAGACTTTTCATTAAGCAGTATTAATTTTTATTTTGTAGCTTGCTCATAGCATGTGTGGCAAGCAATTTTTCCCCCACAGGCATCTGGCTTATGACATACCATAAAACCATTTAACATTCTACTTGAATAAAATAAAAAATGAATGATGCCAGCAAGGCCCAATGGCATTAATCTTACTCTGTATGTGCAAAAATCAAGGCATTACCTTGATTAACAGTTACCAAATCAACATTTGCAGGTCAACCATCAATGTTTTCTCAGGAAATATATGTTTCTCCCTACAAACAAGAATGACTAGTCCATATGAAACATTTCTTAACCTTCCCAACCCTTCTCCCCATCAACTCTGCCTACCACATAAGGACCAAGAGAGCCCTACCATACATATAACTGGGTGAAATCATGCTAAACGCTATTTATAAGTGATTAGACACTTTCTCATCCCTGCAACAACATGGTATTTTCTAACTCCTATGTCACAGTAAGAACAAAGAAAACCAGAGAGGTTAAGCAATTTGTACAATTTACACAGCAGATAAAAAGCTTAAGTTGGCCCTTCATTAATCAGGATGGGGCTTGCAACCCAGGGCTCAAGTAACCTGATGATTCTTACCACATCATAAAAATCCAAGAATCCATTACTAGAACCTAGGTTTTTTGTTTTGTTTTGTTTTTAATTACATTTATTATCCAGGTCATTCACAAAGGATTGTTTTGTTCTGGACTCCCAAGGCAAAAAACCTACCAATTATCACGTCACTACCTGCTCCTAAAGTAAAGCAGTGAGGAGGAAGGACCCAGAGATGGCAACAGGTTTCCAATGTGAACACGTCACGGGCAGGAGTGACAGTCCTGGCTAAGAAATATGAGGACACTGTTTGGGCGGGGAAGGGACGGGCTTTGGAAATGCCGAGGTTACTCAGAGACAGCGAGCGGATGTGTCTGGAGTTCTGGAAAGGCACAAGGCCATCGTAACTAGCCGTGAGCATGAGGGACCATCAGGAAGGGCAAGAATCCAGTAAGAACATGGCTCAGGGGCGGAAGGAGGGGCCAACATTGGAGGGGGGCAGGGCGGGAAGAACATGGGCCCAGAACAAGGGCCAGTGACTATGGGGGTCTGAGTAAATTACCTCCTTCTCTAATACTGGGGCACTAGGCCGGATGCCTCGATGTCCCCACTTGCCCTAGCAATCCCATGCAGCTGATATATTCATTCAGCACTTTCTTAGACTTTTAACCAATTTCACAAATGTTTGGTATCCAGAGGCACATCAGGTCCTTTGGGGTGGGCAGGTGGTCTGTGTCCCCACAGTACCAAGTGTGCTGGTGATTTTATGGTAGTTGCTCAGTAATAAATGCAACTTAAAAAAACCCCTCACCCTCCTTACTCATAGTGATTTTACTGGCTTCACCCACACTACAGCGGAAGCTTCTCTTACAACAATCCCCCCATACATTTACATACATTACAAGATTTATTTACACGAGTGGAGGCTCTGTTAAAAATGTAAATGTACTGAATGCAAATGTATGGAGAAGATTCTCCCCAGCACCCACTAGTATCCAGGATATGATACCAACTGATGTTTGCTTTCTCCTAGTTAAGAGAAAATGATGCAATGACAGACCAGTCCTCTTTTTATTAACTGTTAAACTGTACAAAGTATAAACCATTGAGATTAGAAGAGCCATGATACAGTTCGATGCTCAGTCAAAAGTTGCAGGGAATTTGAAGTCCGCAACCCAGTAAGCCTGCTTTTATTTCCCAGGATGCAGGCTCTTCTCTGCTTTGTTTCTCCTGCCCTCAAAAGAGGGATGATGACACTGAATACAGAATGACTAACCCACAGATAGAACATGCTGCAAAGGTAGACAGGGGCGGACTCAGGATTCTGACCGGAAATTGAATTCTGTCAGGGAAATTTAATCAGAAGTCTAGGATTCTCTGGTGACCTCATCAAGACACCGTGACCATTCTGACCACAGTGTTGGATACAGCTGCACACCTGTAGGGTAAGGAAAAAATGTCAGGCTTTTCTAAAAGCCCTCCCACCATCAGGATAGATGATGGATCCTTGCGGTCCTGAATGCATGCCTGATGGCGGGCACCTGGAGTAGGGTGTGGGAATATAGATGGGATTCACCTGGGCTGAGACTGTACTTTTAAGGGCGGCGTCACAGGGACCCCAGCAGAAGCCGAAAGAGAAGCCGAGAAGAAGCCAGGAACAAACGGAAGCCAAGAGAGAAGCAAGAGAAGCAGAAGCTGAGAGAAGGCGAGAGAGCCCAGATGGAGTGAAGACTTGCTAGGGGCTGGGAGGCCTGCCAATCTCCCGGCCCCCCAGCACCCCTGCCTGCCATATGCCTGGTGAACCCCAATAAAAAACCTGCAAAACCACTGAGGACTCCGATTCCTCCTTTACCTGGTCTGCATGGGATCAGAAAACCTGCACTGTGCCCATTCCTGACCCCACAACACCACTTCTGGAAAAACCCGGAGACCCCTGGGCCTTTCCTGGTGGCGCAGGTGGTTGAGCGCCGCGCTGTGAAGCTGTTGGCAGCCTCTGCAGTGATGGTTAGATCCCGGCCGTTGGCGAGGGCCCCACATGGTGCAACAGACCTCTCCTATCTCACCCACTGCTCCCCTCAGCAGTGTATTTCGGTTGTCTGCCTGTTCTGTCTCTGGTGAAGCCTCTCACCCTCCCCCGCATCTATCTGGCCTGTACCCCGGTTCTTATATGAATAAATAAATAAATCTTAAAAAAAAAAAATTGTTTACAAAAAAAAAAAAACCCCCAGAGAGCCTCAACGCTTGAACCCAGAGCTCCAGATAATGCGAACTCTAACTCCTGTCGCCCTATGTACTAACTGACCCAGCTGACTGGTTATTATTAGATATTTGAATCTGGTGCATTTTCAGTGTCTAGAAGCTCAAGACATGCGGTCTGCCCACTCTGTTCTTACAGCTGTGCACGACAGAAGTGGGCTATCACCTGACATCCAAATGAAATTAAATCAGGCCATGAGCGAGATCAGATGGAAATAAGTGACTAATGTCTATTTATCTAGCATAATTAGAGAGCACAGCAGCCAAAATTCATCCTATTTCTAGAAAGATAAAAGAGCAATCATCTTTAATAAAATGACATTATTTTCAGAGACAGAAAATCTAATTGGTTGGTTTATGAATAGTTATGAAAATTAACTAAGTATAAATAAAGGTTTAGTAATTAAAATAATATTCCCATTATGATCTGTTTCAAAACAAGAAAAAATAAAAAGTAGGCTTGGTTTTTACCGGGGACAAAAATCTCGCTCACTGTGGATGACGGATGTGCCAAGACGGGAAGGGTTGGCCCCATGTAAGCTGCTGGCGGGGCCAGGGGTGTGGAGGGATAAAGTGCTGTCAGGGCCGCAGATGCGCTGCAGCTGGCTAGAAATCAGTCTCCTAAGCACCAATCGATCACCATCAACTTGTTAAGAGCACTATTTAGTCCGACCCTTTGTCTCCCAGATGAGGAGAAAGATCCGGAAGGGCTAAGTGACTTATTGGGTCATCAAATGCTATAAAACAAGTTCCCTCAAAACTCA